AGGGGGAAACCGGCGGCAAGGGGCGGGGCCGCGGCCCTCGGCTCCTCCCCCGTCTCCATGGCGATGGAGGTGGCGTGGCCCTGCCGGAAGTGGGGGTTTTGCCACAGAGCCGCCTCTGCCTCCCCTCCCCCCCTCCCCATGGCCCTGAGGGGAGCTGGTGCCAGTGTAGGGCGCAGAGGGACACACCAGCCTTGGTCCTCGCTGCCCTTCGGGGCAGATGGCCCTACCAAGGCTCCTAGAGATTTGCAAATGCCCAAGTCGTGAGTGTAGCAGCAGTGGGCCAGCCCCTCAGCTCCCAGAAGCTGTGTCCACTGGCTGCCTCACCGGAAGCCCCCATAACCTCCCCTGCGCTTGATGCCGCCTCAGAGATCCTCCAGCGGAGGGCTGTGGGGGGAACAGGTTATTCATGCCTTGGGGTCGACTGCTGCCTTCCAGGTGCTTGTTTCCCCTCTTTGCCTTAACCTGTGTTCACAGGGAACATGATGGCTGCGCTGCAGGCTGCACTGAAAAACCCGCCCATCAACACCAAGAGCCAGGCAGTGAAGGTGAAGCAGGAAACAGCCGTTCACCCTCATGCTTGCTTGTGAATCGTCACCCTAATACCTCCCCCCCACCGTCCATCTTCCTCCCTCCCTCCTCTCTGTGCACGTACAGCTTATTTACATGCTGCCCTCTTAGCTAAGCTATTCTCTGCAAGCCTAATCTTACCAAAGAGTAGTACGAATTGATCGGCCGCTGCATATAGTCAGCAACTCTCCCTTCCAGTGTAGACTGCAAATGTCAGCACTCCCACAGTGGACAGTGCTTTGAATATATCATATGCTCCTACTGTTTGGCTGCCAAAAGGCTCCCCAAAGCAAATTTTGAGTGGATAGTGATCCCTTGCAGATACCCAATGCAAAGGCGACAGATGTGCGGTAGGTGTAGAAATCATTCAAATTATACCACTGCCCACTGCTCTGTTTAAAGTAGAGGTCTACTCCACTGTCATTTTAAATTGGAGTTCATTGGCTGTACCAGATTTCCCCAATCAATTGAAAAGGAATTTTTTCCCCTCACGGTCAGCCACGTGAATTTATGAGAGACTTGAGAATACAGACATTACCACAAAGATGACCTCACAGGCAGTTTTGTAGCCTCAGCAAACAGAAGCAGAACTTGAAGAACAGACAGAAAACCCAGAAAAAGACAAACCTGTTGCTCTCTTCATTTGGTTTGTTTTGAGACTGGCTCTGTAATAACGTTTTTGGCTTTCTTATAATCAACTGATAAGACCAAGTTTAAGTAACTGGAGTACTCTTAAAGCTAAATTTGTATTACTTATCTTTAGGTTCATTTAGAATTGTAGATATGTGGCAAAGCCAGCTGAGTTAATGTTCTTCTGTTGTATGTTATATAGTATGATTCGCAGCTTTGTGTTTCAGCTGTCTTAAATGTGTTTTTCAGTAGTTGAAAATGGAATGTTGTACCTCCTGGTTTGAAGAGATCTTTAACATTTGGGCACATGCCATATGAGTATGGGTGGGTTTGGCTGCCAGTAGTGACCTTTTTTTCCTTCACTTCTTTACAGGATCGGGCAGAAAGCATTGTCTTGAAAGTGCTCATCTCTTTCAAAGCCAACGATATTGAGAAGGCAGTACAGTCTCTAGACAAGAATGGAGTCGACCTGCTAATGAAATACATCTACAAGGGCTTTGAAAGCCCCTCTGACAACAGCAGTGCAGTGTTGTTGCAGTGGCATGAAAAGGTATGTTTATAGGAGAAGAGTCCTGGTGGTCTGGTAATTCACATTAGTGGACACCCTTGTATCTAGGATTTGGTCTTTTTGTTGAGGCCAATAACAACCACTGTTTCTTCCTCCTGAAATACTACTGTCTGTATGACATCAGGAAAGACAAGGTTCTACTTGGAAAAGTGTGAATCATACACAAACGTACTACATATCTTTGAATATAGCCTTTAGAGCTGATGTTTGATGGCATTCAATGAGACTATGAAGGTGATGAAGTAGTCAACCGTAAAGATTAAAGCAGAAGATTTAAATGGGAATAGAATGCAGAAGTTTTGACGCCCCTCCTCCACCACTGACTCTTAAAGAATTAAGAGCTTGCAAAAGCAAGCTCTCTATTATCAGTGCCACTTCCTCATCTGTAAAATAAATGTAGTAATACTTCTATATTTCACAGTGCTGCTAGTTTAGTGTTCCTAAAAGCACTTGAAGATGCTGAGAGGAAATGCACTGTGGAAGTTCCAAATACTTTTAGCAGTTAATTGTTCCAGTTTGAGTTTACCTTGGCTCTTATTTAGTGTTATTTCTCTATTTTTTCAGGCTCTTGCTGCTGGAGGTGTAGGGTCCATTGTCCGTGTCTTGACTGCCAGAAAAACGGTTTAAGTCCAGCAACAAGTGGCTGTCTGCTATTGGTGTGGGAAATGCTGGTACAAAGACCAAAAGAACCAAATGTCGTCGCTGCCCTGTGGGTAGCATCTGTCTCTCTCAGCTTGCCTTCTTGCTGCTGCTTTCATATCTGACAAAATACACATATCTCATTTCCTTTTGTTAACCTTTGGATAGTATAGAGATGCAATTTAATTTCTAATGGGAATATTTGGTACTTGGAAGCATTTCAGTGGCATCACATACAGTATATACACGTGGATAATTATACACAATTTTTGTGTATGATGGTTTGAATTCACGTAAATAATGGTGGCAGTTTTTTGACCTGACTTTCCATGCAGAGGGGGAGGGACTCAAGGCAGTGTATTAATTCTCTAGCTTGCCCCACAGTGTTTTGATGTAATATAGATATATATTTGACAAGTTGACAGCTATTATTAAAGGTAACTGGATCATTCTCTTGGTCGACTTCTGAGCTCTACAGCGGTGAGTTGTGTAGAAGTAGGGAGGCTGTGTCTTCCCTCAGAACCTGATTATTCATTCAGTAAGTTGATTTTTTTTTCCTTTCTCGTAAGAATTTCACATCTATGGGGTTTGTTTGGGTTTTTTGCTTTCTTTGTGATCAGCCAGGTGCTGATCAGAGAGAGCAAGTCATAACAGTTAAAGAATTGTCTAGATCATTGGAGATAAAGGTTCATTTTCACTGGGTCCTAATTTAGTAATCTTATTTTGGGAGCAGAGCAGATGTAGATAAGGGCAAGTAGTAAATGCCCTTGGCAACAAGCTGCAAGAGAAACAATTATGTAAAATGCAGCACTGTTGCTGCCTTTGGACACCAATGCACATTTCTCAAGATTGCCAGTGTGGCGCTTGTAAAATGTCTTGAGCAGTATTTTTCCCCAGGTACCTGGGACCTAGAAAATACCAGTAGGTTCACATTCCATCATATAGCTTAGTACATTGTGTTAACTAACAGGTAAACCAAGTGAAGTCCCAAGAGAGACGAGTTCTTTTTAATTAAAAATGTCCATAAAGTCCAGTGTATCCCAGACCGCAGATCACCCTGAATGTGTGTAACAAAAACTGAAATGCACCAGTGTTCTACATTCACATTTTACACCTGTTCAGTTGTGTAAAATTGTGAGGAACTTGTGAAGACCTTTGCTGTTTTTGATACTTGCTTTTTTTTGTAAAATGATAAAAGATCAGAAAATAAATTGTTGCTGTTGACATCTGAATTTTGTTTTCTAATTCCAGCATGGTACCTGTCAGGGTTTTCCCCCACAAGGTAGCTACTTGCATATACAATTAATATGTTGACCCCTGGATTTTATCATAACAGCCTTAACTATTCTAACTATATCAAGATATTTAAACAAAAAGAACATTCTAGACCAAGGAAATATATTTTTGAAAGGGAAGAACTTATATTATGATTTAAGTTTCTATCTTAGTGAGAGTGCTAAGAGGGGCTATTTAAATTCATTTCCTTCACACACACGCCACATTTAAAAAAAGAGAGTCAAAAATGGGCAATGGCTTAAATTCTTATTTTCTTTAGCCATCATAACATTTTCCTCTTTGTGCGCATAAGTTTTTTAAAAAGTACTGACAGTTCTTTTAGTTGTGATCTTACTAATGTTCCTTTTTCTTGCCATTCTATCACTGATAACTTTTAAATACCATCACACCTATCCCTCATTTGCTCTGTGGAGGGGAAGAAAAGGGTTTAAGTGATTAATGATGCCCACAGGAGCCTTTTTTCTGGAAAGAGGTACTTAGCATTTTGACCAGTGTAAATTGACTTCGAGGGTTAGACACCAAAAAATCACTGCTTTGAAAAATCAGAACTACGATCATGAGTGTACATGGAATCATAGGAAAAGAGGCCATGAGAGGTCACCTAGTTCATCTCCCTGTCCTAGGGCAGAATCAGCTACTTCTACCATTTCTGACATGCTTGTTTGTGCACTTGTAAGCTTCCAATGATACTGTAATCTCTTTATAGCTCCTTACAGTGCTTAACTATTTATTGAGTTGGGGTTTTTTTTCTGATGTCTATCCTAAATCCTCCATGTTGCAATTTAAGCCAATTATTTCCCCACAAACTAGGACAACAGTTTACAGCCTTCCTCTTTCACCTTTTACACATTTGAAGATTTGTATCAGTTTCTTTTCTCTGCACTAAGCTAAACCCAGTTCATTTACATTTTTTCTCAAAGTTAAGTTTAAGTTTTCTTGACTTCTGATGTTCCTCTCCTCCAAATTCTTCAGGTAGTGCACATCTTTCTTGAAGTGCAGTAACTTGACCAAACTATATTAGACACAGTACTGCAGCTTGGGCCTGACCAGTGCTATGTAAAATGGAAGGATTATTTCATATAGCTACCAAAACCCTTCTGTTTATACATTCCAATATAGTGTTGGAGTTTTTTCACAGCAGTATAACGTTATAGACTAGTGTTCAGTTGACAATATACTTCGACACCTAGAACAGATTGCATTTTATTAGTAGATGTTAAGAATCATGAACCAAAAAGATGACAGCGCCATAAGGAAAATACAGAGCACCCGAGCAAGGGACTAACATAAGAGGGATGGGGGTGAGGAAGGGAATGCAACTAGGTTACAGAAAATACAGTGTTAGTCAACTAGGTCCAGGGGCGGTAGAAGGAAAGGGAGAGGAGTTAATCAAGTTTGCTCCCACACGCTGTAATTACAGTGTGTTGGAGCAGTCTCCGTGCTTGTGCACAGGCACCTTCTAATGTGAGGTACTAAATAAATACGCATTAGGCTGCCCTAATGCACACTAGCGAAAGCTCGTGCTTTTTTAGTGATGTTTAATGTATGGTAGCCTAGTTTTACTGCATATTAGCAAGGATTTTGACGTGGTGCTCTAATGTGCAGTAAAATAAGCTACTGTACATTAAAGCGCATGTGTATATGTACATGGCCGCCAGGCAGGGCTGGAGCTGCTACCCAGCTGGACAATCTGTGCATGTACACAGACCGACTGAAAAGGACTGTGAAATAATCTGTTTTGTAGCTGCTGGTTGCTCCCCAGTGAATTCACAGTTGTTGAATAGCTACTCATTAATGCTTCACTGGCACTGAAAACAGTGTAGGGGCTATGGGAATACGTATGGCATCTTTCCTCAGCAGCCAATTGAGAAATCCTTTATGGAGAGGGAGTGGCAATTAGGAATGACATTTTTCTGCCTTATTCTTTCTAGAGTGTAGGGGCTTCCTAGCAAGACTGTTTTTAACATTTTAAGATCCTGTTTAGTAACATAATATAGAAACAGATATATTTGATTCAATGAGGTAAATGATGCCTTTATGCTGGATTACAATTTCAACTGAGTTTTTCTACTAATACTAAAGCAAATAATTAAGGTAAGTTTTTTCCAGTATTAAATGGCCCTGTATAGCCTAAGTATATATGAGGCAGTCTTTCCTGCAATGACCCTTCACTACAACGCATTGTCAATTTTAGATTGAGCATGTGGAAGAAGCATGTTGCTTTCTGCTTTTTCTTCTGTCTATAATTATTTCATAACTATCCATGACCCAATTCTTTTGTGTGCACCAACATTTCTTGGGTAGAAGCAAATGCCTGGAAGGGGACAGTGTTGTGTTATAGATCAGGTGTTCAGAATGATTATTTTCTTCAATCTCTGTCAAAAATGGTTTTTCAAAGCTGAAATATTACAAGACATTTTAAAAGATGGATGACTGAAGGGCTGGTTTAGTAAAGCAGCCTGTGCATCTTTCAAAAGCAGAGCCAGTAGGAAATGAAACTGCTGCTACTTAAATTTTTAATCATGGGTGAGAATAGTTAACACAGCTGGGAGGTATGGAGCTAGTTGGTCTCTCTCCATCAATTATTCAGTGATGGCAAGCTTGGTGTAAACTGCCATATGGGGATGAACTGATAAATTTGGTCTTGAAATGCAAAAGCCCCTCTTTCAAACACAAAACTCTCATTATCCCATCTCTTTCTCTCTCACTTCCATTTTTTTCTGTCTTCTTGTGTTTCAGACACTTGTTGACAAGAAAACATGTTCAATATAAAGATCGGTAATACAATCACCGTAAACACAATTTAAGAATACTGTGGCTTTTAACCTTAATATAAATTGTTTAATCACCATAAAATAGCAAACTGGTAACAAGTAACAATAAGGATACTAAGCTTAAAAGCCACAGTGTTAATAGCCTTAATATAAATATGCTAATAGACTGTATGTAGAGTGTTCGTATAATAGGCAACAAAATAATTGGCTTTAGGTTCTAAAGTCTATGTTGTTACTGGGAGCAAGAGAGTGATAAGGCCTAGGCACTGGCACAGCACATCTACACTACAGGTGTAACTGTATCAGGTCAAAAAAAAAAGGCCAAATACATGGTATAGATGAAAACTAAGACCACAAAGCAAAATGTGCCTTTAAATTGTTCTATGGTTCAGGTAATACTCTTGTCACTAAGCTAGGGATGATCAGGTACCAGTAGGAGGAATATACACCAGGATATATCCCCCTACTGCTGTGTCACCTCTCCTAGCTCAGGATTAAGAGCAACAGAAACTCAGATTTCTTTATATATGAATCATGTGAAGAAGGATGAAACAAAAGCTGTCCCTCACTAGCTCTATCTCCTCCCAGCAAGGACTACATTTCTGGGGGTGAATTTAGGCTGGCCACAAAGTTGCTTGCTTTCAAAGAGCATTGTGCCTACAATTGCTGAGTGATGATTTTGAGTATATTTAAATCTGATCAGAAACTTGTTACTATATTCATTTTTATCATAGGCTCTATATTCTTGTGGATTGCTTTTAGAAGACTTATATTCTTGAACTCCAGGGCTGTAGCATATCACTAGTGTTTCCAGACATCTACTATTTGAAATATAGACTAAACCTGAATGAATAAATCCCTATACCTCTACAAACTACACTATTAGAGGTCTAACTATGGGAGACCATTTTTAAAGGGGGCCACTCTCCCTTTTTCATTCCCCCTCCCCTCCCCCTATTACCACTACTTGTCTCTTTTCCTTAAGTCTTACAGAATCTAAAAATCTAGGTTGGAAAGGTAGTCAGATGGTTATCTAGTCCAACCCCCTGCACAAGGAGGAGATGTCTAAACCAGCCAGACAGAAGTTTATTTGACTTGTGCTTAAGCTTCTAGTGATGGTTAATCTACAACATCTCAAGGTAATCTGTTCCACTGCTTCACAGCCCTCAAAATGAGACATTTCTTTCTAATATCCAACCTAAATTTTCCTTGTGACAATTTCAGGCCATTACTATGTGTCCTTTACTTATAGAATATATTAGGGAAGAAACTGAATAGACTATTCCAGCAGTCCAATTTTAAAACTTACTGAATCTGAGAGAGTATTATTAGAGGTAGTTTGACAGTCCCCATGCCCCCTCCTCTCCAATTTCCACAATTGAATGAATGAATGAAATTTGGTTTGGTTTTGGGGAAAACCAATATGCTGATGTTTTTCATTCTTGCAGATCCCGCTTTGTCTTCCCTTTTCTCCCTCTGTTAATAGCTGAGGGAGGGCAGAACCTTCCAACTTCATTCCCCATTTTTTTGCCCTGCTAAAATTATCCCAAATAGCCTAATTCCTCCCCCACACTATTTTTAAAATCATTGTTATTTTTACATTTGTAAGACCCAAAATAGCTTCTTTTGCCTCAGATATTCTTCATTAAACGGAAAAAGATGGAATTTTCTGTAGCTAAACCCCTCTTTTGCCATTTAAAAATAAAAGAACTGGGCAAAAATAACACCCTGAAGCCAGCTCTGACAATTTGATTCTTGTTCAACAAAACCATACATGGGTTGATGAACTCCATATAAGGTCTTAGTTCTCTACAAAATTATAGAGGACTCTTCCATGAGAAGGTCCCTGTTGTTTAGTTGTCACAGGAAAGGTTTTTGCAGTTTGTAAAATGCTTTTCTTCCAAGGATAGTGAAAAAGGTGACAGCAGGTCATGTGATGATGTAAAGCAGTGTTGCTTTACTGGCCCCACAGGTTCTGGCCCCACAGGGTGGATGAGTGGCACAGGGCTGGTCAGTGGGCCAGATCCAGATTAGGATCAGAGCACAGAATTGGGTCATAGGTGCAACCTTACACACTGGCCAAACCCGATGCAACAGATCTGACTGCAGACTGATCCCATGTACTGGCACTATCTGGTACACAGGGCCATGTTGACTGGCCT